ATAACAATCTGATTGGATAACTCTGTTTTCATTATCTTTGGACAAAAACACAATCATCTCTGAACCGAACTTAATCGAAAATTAGGCAAGAAAATACATATTAACAATTAAATGTCAGCCTCAAATACAATCTCAAATAAAGATATGTTATCTTCTACAGTTGAGGTTAATAAAGGTCAAGGCCACTATTTGAGGAAAGTTGATAATCTAAAGAGAGTTGGGACTTACATCCAAACTGCTATTATCCATGGTGTTATGTGTACATATACTGTAGCTGGGTCTCATCTGCATAATAGTTAAATGAACACTAACACAAAAGGACCTGGAAATGAGCCTTGTTGCAACCATAGGCACCATGTGCTATACCAGTTAGTCTTGATGATGTTTCATGGTCAATACAGTTGTGAACCTGGCTTGATCGTGTTGTCATACTGTACTGTACTGTGGTTAGTGGGTTTGCTAAATACTTATTTTATACAGCACTGTATTTCTTCTATTTCACAGATCTCCCCTGGCGAACTGAACAAACGAGTCGACTCTTACAGAGCTTCTCCCGTCCTCAGTCTACTTGTGGTCTGACTGCGATCACCGACTTCAAAGGTACGCGTTTCTCTCGCTTTACACCTCCAGCCTCCTTTAATCACTTTGTTCAGCTCATCATTGCAGTAATTACATTTCTACATTCCTGGCAGTTTCTTTTTTTTGGAGGGGCTTGAAAATCCAAGACATAACTTTTCTGTTATCTCTCCTTGAGTGAGCTTTACTTCATTGCCGTTGAGGTACCTTGTACGATTTTTATTTCAATGCATTTAAGAGCTTTTTCCTTCAAGAAATATGCTCTCGTTTCAAACATTCACACAGTAGAATCAGCTGAGGTGAATGCCAGTTGAAAAACGGTTTTAGTTCTCTTCAAAGATTTGAGCATGTTTTAGAGTTGAACGGGAGAAAAAGGCAGACTCAACTGTGTAATTGAGTCTTTGAAGTCTATCACCTGGAGTTAGATACAACCTGAAACACTTAATTTCAATTGTGATGTCATATGTGCTGCAAAAGCTCTTCTTTGCATGTGTTTGCTTTAAAATCTCGGAGACTCAGAAATCAATTTTTTTGCATTTACTATCTTGAAGTTTAAGACAGATTATATTTGGTCTGATTGAAGTACTCAATCAAGGCTTTGTGCATTGCTTCAAGTGTGTTCAAAGTAACCTTTGGTTGCTTCTTTAATAGTTTTTCTTCTCAAAATTAAAAACCGATTTTTATCTCACAAATGTGTAGATGCTTCCTGAATCTGGACCTTGACCTCCTTACTGTTAGATGCTTATAATGTAGGACCTGAAGATTATTATGTGGAATCAATTCAAGGAGAGAAAAACATTACAATGCAATGCCTTTTTAAAATTCGAACTGAAAGAGAAAAATCAGGTTAGAAGCTTCTCGTACAAGCTAGTAATCTGTAGCATGTTTCTGTAGTGATAAAGTATGAATTTATGTTTTTATAAACAGTTTGTCCCTTCAAAGAAACTGACAAAGACATGCATTTGCATTAAAATGTATTTTGTGTGTGTAGTTGCATGTGTGTGTGTTTGTCAGTATTTGTCTGGTCTGAAATCCTCCATGTAGCGAGGTGGTTCAAAGAAATAGGATGAAATGAAATATGGATGGTAAACAACAGATGCATTTCTTTCTGCCTCGCTTTGAAAGTGATCAGCTATGGACTTGACGCACTTATTCTGGCATCGCTCGGCAATATCCCTCTGGGCATACCACTTACTTTAATGTTCGTCAAAACAACACACACTGGAATCCTAAACTGAAGGGAGGATCATTTCTGGTGACAATGCATTCCTGTTTAAAACTTTAGTCACTTACTGCTTCAGTCTAGTGTTCCCTACTAGAATGTGACATATTTACCTCAAATGACAATCATTTCCAAGTAACCATTCATTAAACGGCAAACTCTGAGGTGAAGCTGCCAATTACATCAGTTGTGCATTGTGTTGATTTATTAAAAGCAACTAACTGATTCATGAAATGTGATTTTGGGACAGCTGAGGTAACTTCCTTAAAAACATTTTAATAATTACCAAAACTTCATTACATTCAGTGATAAAAAAAGCTTTGTTTTTCTTCACAACAAGGAGAAATTCATACTGACTTTCATATTGTCAAATAACACTTTTCAAATCTGAAGAAATTCAGTCTTTCACTCAGCATAAATGCTTGGACAGATTAGCTAAGGAGACACAATCTCTGAGGAGGCTGGAGTTAGTGGCTCTGAAATGACAGTTCAAGTTGGAACGAGACCCCCCAATGTCAGATACACACACACATATGCAAATAAACTAGGAGGAGCAGGTGTTTTTGAATACCCAATAGTGCCACTGAGAGCTGCATCCTCAGATGGGCATCAGATGTGTTTAGACAAGGAATTAATCTGAGCTGCAATTACAGTCTCTAGGAAGGGGCAAATTGGTCATGAGGGGGGAGGAAGGAACCCACCACCCACCTAGTCCCTAATCAAGTGAATGTTTCTAACTTAATATCAGGCACTGATGGTCACACTCAATTATCCTCATCTTTTACCTCCCAATCTGTTCCCCCATCCACTTAATAACCCCCTACCCAAACCCCTCAGGACATGCGCAATGCATGCGGCTTCTCTGTGTGGCTTCCTCAGTAGCTCCACATCTTATGTGTCTCTGCTTTGATTCTTGAAGAAGACAAAATTTAAAGCAACAGTTAGACAGTTTGGGAAATATGGTAATTGGCTTTCTTGCTGAGACCCAGACGGGAAAAAGAAGAGGACTGATACCGCCCCCTAAATGGGAGGACGGGCACATGAAAGGTTTAACACCAAGTCCTCAGTGGAATGACAGCATCTTTTTGCAGATGCAGGGTGGCCTTGTGGGGAAGGCTATACTTGGCAACTTTCCACATTGGCGGTTTCAAATGGCATCAAGAGGAAAGAGCTGGAATACAATATCACCAGCCATAAATCCTGTTGTATAATGTCAATCAGTCAATGCACAATCGTACCGACTAGAATTTCATCCTAGCAGAATCAGCGATGTTTCAGTGCAGCCAGACTTCATACTGTTCTCCCTCGAAGCCCTATTTTATGATTTAGTTATAGTGTCATATAGTCAGATAACCAGACCTCCAGCAGCATTCGAAGCTGTTCTTGAGAATAACGTCAGTTAAATGCTTTCTAGTTTGCAGAGAGGGATTTGATGGCAAAGGGCCTTGTCATTAGATGATTTGTTGTGGGGGAGTCCAGTGGACCTAATGAATAATGTGCCAAGGATCTATTCCAGCAGGCCTTTGCCGTGAGCGACCACTGGATCTGATCTGCAGATCCATGCTCAACATTGTGGCTGCATGCGTGTGGATATATTTATTGGGTGGCTATTTTTAGAACAGAGGGTTTGTGCTGAAGTGCATTATCCTTGAGGAAAATCCTTGCTACAGCACAAGTGAAGCTTGTAGCGAGACGCCGCATCAACTCCACACATGGTATACAAGTCTATTTTTTCCTTTTAATTAAAGATGTTTACACCTTAAAAGAAGTCAAATCTAACACACTTCCCTTTGTGGAATTAATTAAACAGTTAGCATTTTTTTTAAATCCCATCTCTTTGATTAGTCATTCTGGCCTCCACTCATAAACCTCCAGTAGTGATGTCCACAAATGACTTTCCTGCCCTTGGATTTGTTCTTTGATATGTTTCCATCACATAAAGCTGGGACTAAGTAGGGCGTGTGTAATTGAGGTTGGGGTTAAACGTGCAGACCGAACTGTGTTGTTATCCCCTCTGACCCAGGCCATTAGCACACATCTGCTGAACCAAAGCTTAAAAAAAGGCTGTCATGTTGGCAGAGGGGAATTCTTCAGATGCCCCTCCCTGTGCATTCTGGTCTATTTTAAGTAGGCCCAGAAGTTGGTGTTTAATGATAAGCTGTGGGGTGTAGCTGACATGCCTGCCATATTATTCCCTTTATGACTCAGGAAACAGCATCTATGTTGCTCCCCACTCCCATTCAGCCCTTTAGGGTTGTGAATCATTAGAGTCCGTCATCAAGTATGACCAATCAACATAGCTTATGGCACCCTATTGCTGTCTGTTATCTCAAGGAGTGGACAGCTTTGAAAACTGATAAGGATGCTATTTTGATGCAAAGAGTCATTGCCCAGCAATGTTTCCATAACGGAACTAACTTACCAGCTGATGAGTGTAAATGCCAGTGATGAATATTTTAGTGAGACCAGTGTTTCATGACTTCTTTCACATGGATGTGGAGTTTAACTTTGATGACACAAGCTCCTCGATGCGTGTTGCTTTGTGAGGAAGAGTGAAGGAAGAGTTGTGTCAGTCGAGACTCAGCTCCAGATAAATAAATGATCAGCACGCAACAAACATCAAAAGAGGGATTGTGCGCTTCAAACGGAATAAGGGTCTCACATTCACCAGGTCCTATAGTGACGAATGAGTCTTGTTTATGTGCACACACATACGAAGGCACAGTTTTTGTTGCATCTACATTCATGGTCCCCTGCTGAGCCAAAACACACCACCTCAATCTTTGTCTGTGTCAGTGGCAGAATCGGCTTCAAAATACGAAAACATCAAATGTTCACTACTCAACTGATTTGGGGAACTTTGGGGTGCCTTGGGAAGCCGTTGATCTGCCAGGCTGATGATGCAGTCAAGAAAGTACACTTAATAATGAAGATTTATATAAACATTAAAAAAAATATACTCCTGAGGAATACATGAACAAACTGTGAATGACAATTTACCTGTTTCAGAAAAGTTACGTCAAATACAACTCAGACTAAAGAACATATGCTGTTTGTTGCTTTTCATTCCTCTTTTAACCTCTGGCTTTTTCTCTTTTGTCTTCCCTCTGTTTTTTCCCCTTTTCCCCTCAGTGCTGTGTTCTTCTTGCTGTCTCATCCCTCTGTTTCTGAGTGGGGGATGTCTGTTTTCTAACACCTCTCGGCCTGCTTATCTATTCGGTCTGTATTGCAGTGGAATGGTATTTCCAATCCCATTTGTTATTGTGTTGTCAAACCCCCTTGATATCACGCCATCAGTTACGGATATCAATGTCTGTTTGTTTGTGACAGTGTGATCGCCTGCAACTGTTATCTGGAAATCATGATTGTTTATGATAGCAAGTGTGTGTGTGTGTGTGTGTGTGTGTGATGCCAGGCTGGGGTTGTCCATATGGGTGGCTGTGGTAAAGCTTGCATGTGTTGGATTTGTGCCTGCAACGCTGCTTGTGCGTCACAATGCATTATGGCTTGGTGCATGAGTATATGCAATGACAACGCCATTTCTCCATGCTGGCTGTTGTTCATTTGCTGGGATGTGATCATTTCTCTCCACCTAAGACTTTGACATAAGGTCTTTCTTTTTGGGACCAATGTAAGGTTGTTCCTTCAGGGTATGGACTCAAGAAACCAGTCTAAAGTAAACCAATTTGATTTTAAGCCCATGCCCCTCCAGTCACCCAACTTCTTGAATTGTTCCATTTCAATGTGTCTTGTTGATCATTTATAGCTTTGGCTGAATGCCAAATCATTAATGTCATATGTTGGCCAGTAAATAAGTCTTGATGCCACTCGCCCAGCTTGTTGGGTCTAGGTGTCTTTAATGACCTGGTACCCCCTCCTCCCCCTTCTCTTCCCTCCCTTACCAACTTGAAAGATCGGTACAACTGCGACCAACACTGAACATGGAGGACTATGACGTTCGCTCAGCCGCCAGCATCCTGGCCTCAGTGAAAGAACAGGAGGCACGTTTTGAGCAGCTGACCCGAGCCCTCGAGGAGGAGCGTCGCAACGTCACCCTGCAGCTAGAGCGCGCCAACATGCCTCCCAACGCCACCACCAGCCAACCGCTAGCATGGCAGCAGGTGGTGATGCAGGTAAATGATGCCAGCATGCTGGCCAACCACCCCTTGTCTTTTTCAACCACCAACTTGACATACCATGTGTCTGCCTCCCTGCTTACCTCAGTGAAGTCGCATTCGCCTCTCCTGCTCCCTCCTTCCATCAGCAAGTTCATTCCATCATCACGTCTGCTCACGGTCATTGCTTTTAATCACTGGTGGAACTCAGTAATCTCTCTGTTCAATTCCCCTGTGATTTGGGACACTTGTTCCTATTGTCTGGACCCACTGTCCTGGATGTTACACAATAATCTGCTCTGTGGTGACTCATCTTTAAAAGCGAGCTGATGAGATTCAACCTCTCATTATGTCTTCCTTCACATCCCTCCCTCTACGCCACTGCCTGCCATCCAATCCCATCTTCTTTCGCCCACTGGTCTTTGATATTGTCTGGTGGTGCTGCTGATTGGATGTGGCCTTTTGCTCAACTCTGGCCAGTGTGTGGGAGATATTAGAGTCCTGGCCAGGGATCCTGTCAATGTTGGCTGACTCTGCAGGAGGAGGAAATGTGAGATGTAGAAATGACACAGATGTAATCCCCTAAAAAATGTCAGCAGGCACAACAACGCATTGATTCACGTACTTGAAACTGAGGTAAAAGGCAACAGTTAACGCTTCTTGTCTTAGCAACTCCCAAGGTCAGGAAATGTAACATCTTAATATTCAGGTTCTTATCATCTTTTGAAGGGGTGTCTCATGCATGTGTTGCTTTTGTGCTAATATCCTCACAGAATTTTACCACGGTTTTACTCTTGCATATTTCATTTCCTGTGAAGAAACTGTACACGTTGAAAGCACGATTCAGTGATGCTGCACTAGTAGCATCACTAGATGCATCACCTTTAATCACAGTAAACGAGGCCTTCTCATTTTATTGATACAGCAAAACTTCAAGAGCTGGAACAGGTTTGCCTACATTTGCCTGGTGTCTGTGTTCATTTTTAAAGCGGTTGCTGCCACTTTGGCTTTGTGAAGTGAAATGAAGAGGATGCAAAGAATGTATACGGTTAAGTGTGTGTGTGTGTGTGTGTGTGTGTGTGTAAGAAATACCCTCTTCATAAACTCGCCAATGATTTACTTGACAGTGTTTAACATGACAGGTGCGGAATTAATATGCTTTTTTTTTTATCACTCACAGATTAGACTGACAGAGATTTGTGTGTGTCTGTGTGTGTGTGTGTGTGTGTGTGTGTGTGTGTGCGTGCGTGTGCGAGCACTGCAACGTTGACCCACTCCATTCACATGATGAGGTGGTATGAGTGACGAGGAATGCATCAGGTTGTTCTCTTTTACTTTCACATCCCATCTTTGGTCACACACACGCACCTACGCACACACACACACACAAACACACACACACACACATACAATCCCCAGGATGCATGATAAATGAAAATGGAGCATGGATCAGTATCTTAGGGTTCAGACTCACAACCTCATGGTCAGAGTTAGTGAGCCTCCCATTGTTCAAAGGTGGGGTAACAAAAGAAAAATAGTGAAGACAAATGAAATCAGTTGCCAATGACGGTGAAAACCAACTGATCAAGAGGGACTTGGCTACACAGTGCTCACCTTGGAACAGATTGGTCCTAATTATCTGTCTTCATTGTTTGAGCTTGGTTTATTACTTCACATGCTCATCAGCAGAGTCCTGTATGATTAGTCACTCTAAACTACTGCCCAACCCCACTTGGATGGTTTTGACACAGCAGGCTCCTCTGTCCAGTCCAGCCTGGATGTGAAGTGAGGCATGGCCTCTGGACAGCAGCCAAATGGTTCAAATAAATAATACAGCGCTGGTTTGACAGTGATATAGCAGTCATTTCCTCCTCCGATTTAAAGTCTAAAAGATTTATTGCTGTTCTACTTTGGTGACAAATCTTTTGGATAATGCTCATGTGAATGTAAAAATATTTGCATGATAGGGAAGAGTTTTTAGCAACTCCAACAGCGTGGTTCTAAGGCTGCTAACGCGTTGGTTAGTCATTCTGCCCACTCGCAATTCAGGCTGATGATGAACTATTGTGTGTTGTATGTTGCACACATATGGACGATCCTATGAGATCTACTGACTTTGAGGGTGCCTTGACTTGACCGACACAAGGTTGACTTTTTTTGTGTTTTAATAAAATATCCTGACTATTATATGGACTGCAATGACATTATATCAATACTTTTATCAAGTTATTTATCCCGATGACTTAATTGATCCTCTGACTGCTCCTCTAGTAGCCCCATGATGTCTATAGCCCAATGGATAGAGATTTTTTTAAGCCAATACCAAATTCAACAATTTTTGTGTTTTAAAAATCTAGACACAGTATATTGCCTATATATAGCCTATAATGGCGAATAATGAATTTCTTTGTCTCACCGATAACATAAAACATTTTTAAATCTTCCTTTAAACAAGTGTGACCAAAAAATCCATAGAGAATGTTGCAGATCAATTTTATCTGCTAAATGTCAGCATGGTAGCGTTGGTGAAATAAGCAGTGATTTAAGCATACTGATATAAGAATTTAGCTAAAAGCACTACTGTGTGCAACTGTACTGAATCACTAGCATCTAAAATAGACTCTTGGCCTTGTTTAACCACAAATTAAGATTTTGTGTGAAGTAGAAACCTTCAAGAATTTCATGATGGTTTTGTCGGCTAAAAGTGCTACAGACCACACATTGTTTTTACTTCCAAGGTCTTAGTCTGTCCTGTAGAGAATCACTCTCTGGGATTAACACCCTGTGTGTAAAACCGAAAAGGATTAAAGAATCTTGTGATTCAACATGTTTAAATATATTAGGTTATTTTTTGGCCCTTAATCTTAACACTGAGTAGAAGGTAAATTACCACAGGATGCTTTGATTGGAACAATGACTGTGGGAAAAGGTTCTTCTGAACAGCACTGGCCTACTTTCTCAGACTTTTCTAATTGAATTCTGATCCTCAGTCACTTCAATATAACACTTTATGAATCGCTGCCAAGGAGGAGAATTAGTGTTTATGCTGCTGTGTCCTATGATGTAAATCATAACAATGATGTTGGCCACTCTTTTAGCTTTCCTGATTATATTATCAGAAGAGATTCACTGATGTGGACCATCCACATTCATCAACAGCCCCAACATGTGAGCACTTACATGCTAAGATCATACCCTGTCTTCATTTGATATCACTTTTTCCTTTGGTAATTGATTTTTGCCTGAAGGAGCATTATCAGCAAGGCTCTGAAAGGTCAAGTGGTGCATGGTGACTGTTCAATGTGTGCAGAAAGGCAGACAGCACTCAGACAACCATGTCTGTCTGGAGCTAAGGGAGAAGGTGACCTCATTTCATATACACCAGACGCCTAATCTACCCACGGCCGCTGCTTGACGCATGCATAGTTCCCATCTCGTACCGCATACGATCACCCAGCTTTGAATAGGCAGGGCTCCACATGAAAGCTTGTCTGCTTGTCTGGGACAAGTGAAGTTTTTGTAGGGCAAGTGGAAGAGAAATTTAATGAACAACAAATACAGTTTGATCGTATTATGCACCACTGACTCATTACATGGATTTTTAGATAAATTGATAACTGTTCTGAGACTAATGCTCTTTGTCCCTGCTATATGTCTATTCCAGAATTCAGAATTAACAATTCAGCAGTCACTCCAAATATCCCGCAGCTTAGGAATCACTTACAGTTCAAACATTCAGTGGAACAGTGGCGGTGATGTTCCTGGACAGGTGTCAGGAAAAGCACCAAGAAGAAGAAACGTTAAAACTGAACCATACAAGTCAAAGAGAGATGCAGATTTGTGAACAGTAACTGTGTGCACACACAGACAGAAACATCTTTTCGGCAGATTCTTAAAGCCTTGAATGCACATCATTTTGTTTTATAAACCTCAGTCATTGTGTCACTTCAACAGTTATTCACAAATTAATATGTGAACGCTCTCACATGTGACCATTACGCACTACTGTGGCTAATTCTTTACCACTAATTTAACAACCATACCTGTAATCTGTCATCATGGTAATATCTCAATCATTATTAAATGTCAGAGGTATAAACATTAATAAACATATAAAGCCAATAGTGAGAAATACTTGCTTTGCAATTCAGGATGACATATAAAGGTCATTAGCAGGAAGGTAATGGCTTGAATGTCAAAAAATAAGACTAATAAATAATTTAAAAGTTGATAAATATGCCTCAGTGACATTTTATATAAGGCCAGGGAGAATGGAGCATACTAATGCAAATGTAAAATAACAAACAACATTTTATTGTAGCCACATTAATAAAATTCATAATTGAAGTCATTTACTGTTTATTAGATAGAGAAAGTGGAGAGAGACGGAAAATGTGGGCTGGAGAGGAGGACATGCAGTTAGTGGTCTGGCCGGCCAGGAGGTGAACTGAGGACCTGCTGCTCAGAGCATGTATGTCCATGTGGTTTATGCATCCTGACCATTCGGCTATGTGGTCCCCTCAATTATTTTAATTTCACCCGTACAAGTAACTTTTGTTCCTGGACGAGTGAAAGGTAAATTTGAATAATTGTCGAGCCCTGAAAGGAAACTACATAATTTCTCTTTCTGTGGATATCAAAAAATACTGCTGTTTGGTATTCCGATGCTACATTCGGCAGGCGTCTAGCATTGCAGGGGCATACCATCCCTTGTGCAAATGTTGTGGGAAGTTTTCAAAGGCTTGTGAGCTTTAAAGAAAGGGAACAGTGCAGCCTTTGATCTGTGGTGAAGATGTGCAGGCTCCGGCCCTGCGATGGCACCACAGTACTCAACCAACAATCGCTTCAGCTGCCCTCCACCCACTTTCATCCCCACAGCCCCCCCTCAAGCCCTGTCTAGGCACAATGGATACAAAGGGCTAAGGGTGCTATAGCGACAGAAGATCTATCCTTCCACTGGCAGGGCTCGGGAGCTCCTGTACCCTCATAAATCACCTGCCTAACAATGAGCCTTAGTA